AAAGGCAGAAAGACCCACAAACAAAGAACAACTGAAGACAGCTGCAGTTAGAGCCTGGCAAAGCATCAGAAAGGAGGAAACCCAGTCTTTGGTAATGTCCATGGGTTCCAGACTTCAAGCAGTCATTGCCAGTAAAGGATTCTCAACAAAATATTATAAATGAACATTTTATTTATGATTAAAATAATTTGTCTAATTACATTTGAGCCCCTGAAAATGGAGGGACTGTGTATAAAAATGGTTGCAGTTCCTAAAATTTGTATTTGATATTTTGTTCAACCTCTTGAATTAAAGCTGAAAGTCTGCACTTCAAATTAATTTGGATTGCTTTGTTTTAATTTATTCTGGTGGCATACAGAGCCAAAATGTATATGGACCTAACTGTGTGTTTGTGTGTGTGTATGTGTATATATATATATATATATATATATATATATATATATATATATACTACAGGTGAAACTCAAAAAATTTGAATATTGTGCAAAAGTTCATTTATTTCAGTAATGCAACTTAAAAGGTAAAACTAATATATGAGATAGACTCATTACATGCAAAGCAAGATAGTTCAAGCCGTGATTTGTCATAATTGTGATGATTATGGCTTACAGCTCATGAAAACCCCAAATCCACAATCTCAGAAAATTAGAATATTGTGAAAAGGTGCAATATTCTCTGCTCAAAGTGTCCCACTCTAATCAGCTAATTAAGCCATAACACCTGCAAAGGGTTCCTGAGCCTTTAAATGGTTTCTCAGTCTGGTTCAGTAGGAATCACAATCATGGGAAAGACTGCTGACCTGACACTTGTGCAAAAAAACCATCATTGACACCCTCCATAAGGAGTGGAAGCCTCAAAAGGTAATTGCAAAAGAAGTTGGATGTTCCCAAAGTGCTGTATCAAAGCACATTAATAGAAAGTTATGTGGAAGGGAAAGGTGTGGAAGAAAAAGGTGCACAAGCAGCAGGGATGACCGCAGCCTGGAGAGGATTGTCAGGAAAAATTTCCATTCAAAAGTGTTGGGGACTTTCATAAGGAGTGGACTGAGTCAGTGCATCAAGAGCCACTACACACAGACGGATCCTGGAAATGGGCTTCAAATGTCGTATTCCTCTTGTCAAGCCGCTCCTGTGCAACAAATAACGTCAGAAGCGTCTTACCTGGGCTAAAGAAAAACAGACCTGGTCTGTTGCTCAGTGGTCCCAAAGTCCTCTTTTCTGATGAGAGCAACTTTTGCATCTCATTTGGAAACCAAGGATCCAGAGTATGGAGGAAGAATGGAGAGGCACACACTGCAAGATGCTTGAAGTCCAGTGTGAAGTTTCCACAGTCTGTGTTGATTTGGGGAGCCATGTCATCTGCTAGTGTTGGTCCACTGTGCTTCATTAAGTCCAGGGTCAAGGCAGCCGTTCAACCAGGAGATTTTGGAGCACTTCATGCTTCCTTCCACAGACGAGCTTTATGGGGATGCTGACTTCATTTTCCAGCAGGACTTGGCACCTGCCCACACTGCCAAAACCACCAAAACCTGGTTCAATGGCCGTGGGATTACGGTGCTTGATTGGCCAGTAAACTCACCTGACCTGAACCCCATAGAGAATCTATGGGGCATTGCCAAGAGAAAGATGAGAGACATGAGACCGAACAATGCAGAAGAGCTGAAGGCCGCTATTGAAGCATCCTTGTCTTCCATAACACCTCAGCAGTGCCACAGGCTGATAGCTTCCATGCCATGCCGCATTGAGGCAGTAATTGCTGCAAAAGGGGACCAGACCATGCACTGAGTACATATGCATGCTTATACTTTTCAGAGGTCCGATATTGTTCTCTGTACAATCCTTGTTTTATTGATTGTATGTAATTTTCTGAGATTGTGGATTTGGGGTTTTCATGAGCTGTAAGCCATAATCATCACAATTATGACAAATCACAGCTTGAACTATCTTACTTTGCATGTAATGAGTCTATCTCATATATTAGTTTCACCTTTTAAGTTGCATTACTGAAATAAATGAACTTTTTTCACGATATTCTAATTTTTTGAGTTTCATCTGTATATTTGCCAGAAGTATTGGATCACCCCTCCAAATTCCTTGCAACTAAATATTCCACGGTCAACTGTTAGTGGTATTATAAGAAAGTGGAAGAAACTGGGAACAACAGCAAAGGCCACATAAAATGACAGAGCAAGGTGAGCGCATGCTGAAGCACACAGTGTACTGAAGTTGCCAACTGTCTGCAGAGTCAGTAGCTTAAGATTTCTAAACTTCATGTGGGCTTTAGATTAGCATAACATCAGTGTGTAGAGAGCTTCATGGAATGGGTTTCCATGGCCAAGCAGCTGCATCCAAGCCTTATATCACCAAGTGCCATTTAGAGAGTGGGATGCAGTGGTGTAAAGCACACCGCCACTAGACTCTAGAGCAGTGGAGACATGTTCTCTGGGGTGACGAATCACACTTCTCTGTCTGGTAATCCAATGGACATGTCTGGGTTTGGCGGTTGCCAGGAGAACGGTACTTGCCTGACTGCATTGTGCCAAGTGTAAAGTGTGGTGGAGGGTGAGGGGTTATGGTGCAGTGTTGTTTTTCAGGGGTTGGGCTTGGCCCCTTAGTTTCAGTGAAGGGAACTCTTAAGGCATCAGCATACCAAGATAGTATGGACAATTTTATGCTCCCAACTTTGTAGGAAAAGTTTGGGGATGGCCCCTTCCTGTTCCAACATTACTGTGCACCAGTGCACAAAGCAAGGGTCCATAAATACATGGATGAGAAAGTTTTGGGTAGAGGAACCTGACTGGCCTGCACAGAGTCCTGACCTCAACCCGATAGAACACTTTTGGGATGAATTAGAGCAGAGACTGCGAGCCAGGCCTTCTCTTCCGACATCAGTGCCTGACCTCACAAATCCCCATTCCAATAGACACTCTCTTAAACCTTGTGAACAGCCTTCCTAGAAGAGTTGAAGCTGTTTATAGCTGCAAAGGTTGGGCCGACTCATTATTGAACAACTCTATGGACTAAGACTGGGATGTCATTAAAGTTCATATGCCTGTAAAGGCAGGTGTCCCAATACTTTTGGCAATATAATGTGTGTGTGTATATATATATATATATATATATATTCCACCAATTCTTTCTTTTCTATCTATCCATCTATTTATCCAACCAAGACTAACTATCTATCTGATCGATCTATCTCTATCCATATGATTTAGGCATCTTTCACATGGGCCTAGTTTCTGACTCATGATCCACAGTGGATTGTTTTGTCAGCAGCAGCTGGCTTGCAGTTAGCTAGCAGACGATCAGAAGGAGATATCCCACCTCTGGCATTCCTGTTTGAAGATGGATTTCATTATGGCAGCACTTACACTAGGTGGGGGGCACGGCTGTTCCGCCTGTTGACCTTAACATGTTTCTTTTTTCTGCTCTGCAAAGCATAGCTTCATGCCCACAACAGTGCATGTCCTGGTTTTGACAAGCAATTCAGGCAAGTTAAAAACGTGCCTCAGCACAGCCCGACAGCGCCCATATGACAGGGTTTAAGATTATCTATCTATCTATCTATCTATCTATCTATCTATCTATCTATCTATCTAATATATGTCTGTATCTTTTCATTCATCCCATCTATCTTTTCATTCATCTAACAGTCCATCAACCATGTCTAACCTGCACTGAATGTACAACAATGTAACATGCCCTATCTTTTATTAACATGCTAAACTGTTGAGATTAGATGTAAATTAGCCACATAGGACTGAATGTGATATCTGCTTGAAATTCATTTTCATGCTGGAAAACAGTCAAGTGAGACTTCATCCTATAAGTTTTTTACTGTTACTTTCCTGCTGGATCTTCTATTTACTAGATTTATTACATAATTCTCCCTTCCAAAGCAGTAGTTGGCAACCTATTTATGATCAGTGTCACACAATCCCGTTTGTCTCTGTAAAACACTTGTAGTGGTACATAAAAACATTTTAACTTTGCATAACTCGACATTTCTATTATTTCCTCCAATGTTTTTTCTATTTGTCTTTATGCATAATGCATTGGTTGGCTGTTACAGTGTTATTTGCTCCTGGTAGAATGCCTGGGATGTGATTGTGTTATTAGCATTACTGGGTTTAGGAAGGCAGGCACATTATTTTCAGCTTATTCTCTATCTAATAATTTAATTGTGGCTCCAAAAAGCAATGTAGACTGATTTAGCTTGACTTCTCTATAAATATTGAAGTGGAGATTTACTTAAAGAGGACCTGTGCTGTGAAAGCTGTGGCCAAAAATACAGGCAGAAGGCAAAAGAACAAGTCACCAGTATTGCCTGTAGGCCAGGACGTGACAAATTTGCTTTGAATCTAGGAGCCAGCTACAAAGTTAGAGCCAGGTGGATTGGCAGTGTGACAGGAGGGGGGCAGCAGGACATGGAGGAAAGACAGCGGGATAGGAGGGGGGCAGTGTCACAGGAGAGGGGCAGCGAGGATGGGGGGGAAACATCACAGGAGGGGGGGCAGCAAGATTGGTGGGGGCCAGCAGGACAGGAGGGGGAATTGTCATGGGAGGAAGGCAATGGGACAGGGGGGGCAGTGTCACAGGAGGGGGGCAGCAGAAGAATAGGTGGGGGGCAGCATCATAGGGAGGAGGGGACATCACAGAAAGGGGGGCAGCATCACAGGAGGGGGGACAGAGGGATAGGTGGGAAGCAGTGTCACAGGAGGGGGAG